CTGTACTTGTGCTTGGGATTGCATGGATCAGTCCCTCTTCAACAGTAAGCATCCGTATCAGCATGATTATCACTTCAACTGCAGTCATTTTAGGCAAGCTGAGCTGGCATTTCTCTGCCCAGACATGCCCACAGTTCTGTAACTGTTGCTTGAGAGAAAATATAAATCAGATCATCTTTGTGACAGCCAATGACAAGTTGTCTCTGCTACGCTTGGACCCGCTGCTGTCATACCATCTGGCAAAGGGTTAAGGATTTCTGAAAGCACCTCATTAATGCAAAGACTTTCACTCCATTTTGTGCACTTTCATCTTCAACTTACATGCTCTCACAATAGGAGAGGACTAACAAAGCCTTTATTTAAGTGACAAGCAGCTCTGTCCTCCCACTTTGCGATTCAATCTGTTTGAAGCGGCCAGCTCCGTCAGATGCCTACCATGCCCAACCCAAAGGGACAGTCCCCAGCGCTCCGCTCCAACAGTCCCTCTCCTTTCTGTGTCACAGCATCACTCCAGGACTAATTTTAGTTTGTTATGCAGAAATTTGTCACTAGCTTACGTCATCCCAAGAGTTTTGAACATCACAACAGTATCTGGGCACCTTGCAAGACAGTTCTAACCCTTAATTCAATACATCCTCTGAATAAAGAGTTAAAATCCTCCCAGAAGAGCCTCCTGAGGTACTTACAACCACCTATGCACATGTTCTAGCTTCTGGGAACGTTCCACATTCTCAAGATGCCCAATATCAAGTGACAGTACTAGCTGTAAGGTTTTCCAGGCCTTTTCCACCAGATCCAAAAGGGCAAACTAAAGTTACAGGGGCAGTATTAGCCCTGCGGATATCAACCGTTTCAGAGTACAGCTCACTTCCTCGGCCAGTGCACTAAGCCAGTAATTTTGTTGCTTCTTTATAAACTTGGATGACTACAACGAAGCCTGCTTCACGCTGAAACGGTTACAACTTACAGATCAGCAGACTCCACCACGGAGTGAAACATTAGAGATCTGTTTACTAAAACAAACTTGGTGAGGAAGAGCAAAAAAATACAAATAACCAACATTAAATATGTTAGCAGACCTTCACCTACATTGTTTTCCAGCAGCTCTGAATAAGTATTATGGAACAATTATCCAGAAATTTAGGGAACACCAGCTAAAATTCCCTGGCATACTATGCTTCAGGTCTATTTGGAATTTCACTCTCCAGCTGTAGGAACCCTGGAGATTTCCAGCTGACACGCACTTGCTCCCACGCAGCGCACTCACGTGGATTCGCAGTAAGATACTGGCACGTGCACTTCATTTCCTGCTCCCTCGCCACAGCCCAAAACTCAAGTTCATTATCAAAAACACGAAGACCGCAAGGTACTCACGTTTTCTGTCATCACCACAGGCAACTTCGGCAAGGTATCGGAAGTAGTCTCCTTTCATCTTCAGGTAGAATACCTTGCTCTCCGGATTAGTTGCATTAGCTATTAAATATTTGTCCAACAGCTCCTGAAAGAGCAACAATAAAGACACGTTGACCTAACACTGTTGCAACGAAGTTCAATCTGTTTGTCTTCCCTCCTGAAAGTTGGATGGAGTCAAACGTTTGCTGCAAGGGGAAAAAAGAGTTTTAAGGGCAAATAAGTTTTAAGGGCATTTTAGATAGACAAACACTTATTTAAACAAACTGTTTAAGGCACAAAGCCTACAGATCATCCCAATGACAGTCAGCCATCTGATCAGACTGCAGAAGAAGTAACAAGAAGAGGTTAATTTACAATTAATTTACAGGTTAATTTTACACCTAATTTTAATGGTAATTTTACAGGTTAAATTAACAGTATTTTGAAATATTTAACACCTATTTTAGTATTTTAACACCTAACATATACTTTCAGGACCAAGTTTAGTTTCAGGATATGCACTTCTCGTTTCAAGAACGTTGCTGCAAGCGAGTAAACTTTTACTGGAAAAATGAAATGCTCCGCAGGAAGTTTCAAAGCTATTTATAAAGAGAACTTATTCCCACTCCACAGGAAAAAAAAAAAGTAAGAAAATCAACTCAGCTATTTTTGTATAAAACACATTTCTAAGACTTGTGATTGGGAATCTCCAGCCCACCCACCAGAGAAAGCCAAGGATTTGAACCCGCCTAGTTGGTAGCCAGTCTCGCCAAACCGTGCTGGTGCTCTGCCAGGCTGTCAAGTAACACCCCCTCCAGCGCAGCGGGGAGGCATCCTTCACGTCCACCCTGCTGCTCCGGGATCAGGAAGAGCTACACCACGCTCCCCAGCACACCCCGGGCCACTGCTAACGCTGCTCCCCTGACTGATAACCAGAGGGCCTGGGGAAGGTTTACAAGGCTCCAGCAAGAGGAGAGAAGTCCAAGGCTGCGAGGCCTCCTAGACCTTCCAAGACAGGGGTGAAGGTGAGAAGAGATACAGGATTTTCCCCCAGTGAAGCGGGTACCTTGTCCCCGAGCGCCCGCGACCGTACCCAACTCACCACCCACAACTGACACACGTTCTCTGGAGCTGACAAGATGCAAATAAGCTCCAACAGACTCAAGGAAACCCCACAAGACTCAGAGCAACTTCACACCAAGAATGTAAGTGATGAAGATCCGCATTCAGTTACTGGGAAAATAAAACAGGTCATAAAAGGAACAGAAAGTTTCCACAAGTTTGCGAACTGTGACTAGTTAAGTGAGGTTCTTGTTACAGGAATATGTATCCAAGTTCATGAAGCAGCTACAAAGATGATGTTTAAGGAACTGTAAGCTTTCAGAGCAAAACCCCTTAGCATTTTAACTACAACTGCACCACTACAATCAGCACGAGCTAGTTTTAGACACGAACCCACTCCTCTGCATCCCACCGTACCGTTGTTACCTCCTACGATCAACGATAGGAGAGCAATCCAGCTGAAAGCGCGTACGCATTCCCCATCTGCTTGAGGTGCTGGCGATTATTTTGAGCTGATGCTTGTAGTAGGGTGCTTCCAGTTGGGTGAAAAAAAGGCATTTTGGCTTCCACAGCGTGCTGTGGTGTAACACAGGGAAATGTGCAAGGGCTCATGCCGGCGATCGAATGGCACACCTCACTGGGGGTAGGCAACAAGCAGCAACACTTAGGTCTGTTCCCAAGAGTTAAGACGTAGCAGGCAGATGGTCAACACAGCCCCATATTAATACTGTTATTCTGCATGAGTCATTCCCATAGCAGCGAGTTCTCCCCACCCCACAGGTTTCTGCAACGAGAAAAACTTCACATTCTGACCCTCTTTTCCTGACGCTTTTCTCCTGCGAGAGATGTCAACGCCAGCCATGAAAGCACACCACCACACAAACCAGTTTCACAGTCTCAGAGACGACAAGCAGTAACCTCAAGTTCAACACAGAAGTTTGATTCTACAAGAAACTGCCCCGAATTATGAAAGCTGCCACGTAACACACCCACGTTTAGAAAGGTTCCTTAAATCAGTCACGACCAAAGAGTAACTACCAGCCTCCAAAGGCCACCCTAAGGTTGGGACTGCATGAAGCAGCAGAGATGTGATTTATCCATGTGCTCAGATGAGATATGGAAAACTATGCCAGCTCCAGGAGCACTGACCAGGCAACCAAGATATGTTGTACGGGGTTTTAAACCAGATATTTGACAAAGCTACATCTTTGAATTTTTCTTTCAAATGCTGAAATAAAACTTTTCCAGATGTCACAACTACATCAACAAAAGAACAAGTAGGTATTTTTTTCTTCCATGCCTTCCAAATCCCAAAGATTTAGTATAAAGTGAGCACACATAAAACATTACTGCTAGAGCTACCTCCAAAGATGGAATTCTGTAATAAGATCAGTAGAATACTGCACATAACTGATGTGGCTTAGCTATGACCTAAGAATACCAACACCCTGTGCTGGTGTTGGTACACCCTGTGTACGTTAAATAATGTTTACAGCTGAGCTTCAGCGTGTCTGATTTCAGCTGAGCTTCAAACCTACATTCCCTAGAGCATTAACGCCCACGTTTATTTTTTTTTCCAGATGGGGTAGGCCACACACTTCTTCCAGCAGCACAAAAGGGTTTTGCCATGGCCCCCAACCCTACCATGAGCACGAAGCATTGCTGCTTGTGTGTCAGCGCATCCTCAAAGTGCTGCCTCCACCACATGTTTGAAACCACTGCGTTTGGGCAATTTCTGCAAAACTTAGAGGAAAAAAAAGGGATGCTGGGAGTGACCCGTAGTTTTTCAGCCAGCAAAGCGTGGGTTACACACAATGCTTTATTTCCCAGGCACTCCTCAGTCAGAAGAGCTGAGCTGCCCAGTCAGCAGCTCCCACTCCCAGTTCAACTCGAGGGCCTCCTAAACCTTCACACAGCACAGGGTCAGAGAGAGAGCTGTGCCTCTGTCAGCTGGGGTGGAACATCCTCATTCTGGACTTTACATATCCGGTTTGGGTTTTTTTAATAGTCTTGAATGGAACAAGATCTCATTTATGAATCATGTAGGCTAGAACAGAACACAAACAGACTTTGAGTAACGCTCTTCATCTACCCAGGCGTTATCTTTCAAATCAATGATGTATCTGGTACACGCAGTGAGCCATTCATCTCAGGACATCATCATCCTTTCTTGGAAGGCATCTCGCTCTAACAAAGTGTTGGTGGGGCAGCGAGAGCAGACAGCACAATAAGCTAAAAGAGTTATTTTACACTGTTATGAGTCAGTAATAGCCAGGAAAACTCAAGATTTCCTACATCTTTTCCCTACTAGGGCTTTTCTACCTTTCCATCAGACAGCAATCAGCCAGGAATCCTCACTTTAAGCATCAGCTGATAGTAAATCAAGTGACTACAGACAGCTTGAGCAACGAAGCAGACCTGGCCAACCTCAACGTTTATGGTGATGTTACCTAAAGAGACCGGCACTGCCACAGGTACAATTCTGTGAAGTCAGCCCATAGAGCAGACAGACACCCATTTGCACATACAGCAAACATGCCCATCACTTCTTTTTTTGGACAAAGTTACATATCACAACACAGATGCCACCATCATTAAGAACTGTGACTGTTCTAAACCAAGACCTGAACAACCACCAATTACGTGCTCTACGTCAGACGCTGCTGTGAAGAGCCAAGTGATGTTCGAGCCACTGGCCCACCCTGTGGCAGGTGACCTTGAGCAGTATGAGGACACAGGAATCCAAACTCTGTCCTCAAGCCAGACCCTTCGTGTCCTGGCGCAGCTGCACTGGAATAGGTTTGCACTGTGACAGTTCCTGGTTGGTATCTACTACCTCCTCCACACTGATACACTCCTCTCCTGTAGCGTGGCAGGATTTCCTACCCCGCTTGGCATTGGTGTTGCTCATCCATCTCAGTGTATTTCTACCTTCACAGAGCACTAACACTTGCCATCCTAACAACCTCACATTCTCATACACGATATTCTTCTCCCCTCCTACAGAAGGCAGGCTTATCTACTGACCTATTAAAGAGATGCCAGCAACAAAGGGCTACTGGTCCCTGGAAGTGCCTGAAGAAGCCACGGGGAGCAGGCTAGGAGCCTGGCAGCAATCCACTCCTCCCCCTTTAAAGATGAAATTGAATTGTTTTAAAATTTTTTTCTCTCCATTGGCAGACTTATTCCTTTACAGGCCAAGAGAAAGTTCCATTTGCCTATTTGGATCCTTCTCCAGTTCTACTTTTGTTCTTTCTCAGCTGAGTAACTGTCTTACCTTACTCTCTTTTCCCTTCTGCTGAAGCAGGAACAAGGGTGGAACACGTGGTTGTAGTATAAGACCACTGCAATTAACCTGAGCCAGAAATATTAAGTTTAATTCACCTGCTTTCATCACTTACCCATTATTTCAGCTTTATGAAAAGCAAGACCTGAAGGAACACGCCAGCTGTATCTTTACGCCAAGTGCCCGATACAAAGACGACACAGCTCCTTCATCATCACTTGTCGTGTCGGCATCCAGCAAGCCTCTCCCTACACCATGCATGCATCCCCTGCAATTCCTGCACCAGTCCCGCTCCACATGTGCTTTCCCTCACCCGTTTCCAGGACAAGCCCTTCATTGAAAAGCTGACATCAAACCAGGAAGCCCCACCAACCCCCGACCTCAGCCTATTTTACAAGACAAGCCTGATTTAGACATCAAGTTCAACCCCACTGTACACGCAACACTTTCTGTCCAATTTAACTACGCAGAGAAGGTTCAAGCAGCAGGAAAATGCCACCGTCTGATCGGTGCTGTTCACTCTTCCCACGCACTCAGCTATAAAGAATCTTGACGGCAAAGATGAATTGAAAAACGCAGAATCTCAAATACCAAGTTGCCCTTCGAGCTGCCTTCAGCACGTGCACCATTTCGAACTGGACTTCAATAAGAAAAGCAAAGACTTGAGTAAGGAGTCTCTGCACATATTGCAATACCATCAGCTAACAGACACCTTCACACTTACCCATTCAGCACCACAAGATAAACCTGAACCAGGC